CTAAAAATAAAGAAACAGCGGAAAAATAAGCATACAAATGTTATAAATAGAATATATACTTAAATACAAATGATAAATACATTAAATAAAAGCCATTAATTTTTCTTGTTGAAAATAGCAAGTTTTGGTAAAATCGATGATCATCTTTTTTTTGGCGATTCTTTAAATCGTGATCTGCTCCACAAATTTTGAATTCTTTTTCCACTGAAAAAAATATACGTTTTTTTTGGGCACAAAATTAGGTTGAGAACTTAGCCAAAATTTTTTAATAACTTCGACGTCACACAATCAAGTACTTGCTTTCAAGTTTTAATACACTTACACCTTTTACTAACACAGTTGCATTTTTAGGTATACGAATTTCTAAANAACGTACAAACTTTAAAAATTTTCACACAAAAATCTGTTAAAACGTAACAGATGTTTCTTTCTAAAACAAAATCTGACTATGCTTGGACCCCCAAAGAGTTTTTTTAAATTGCTTTTAGCACAAAATTATAATGTCGGACTTACCTTTGCCATTAAATGACAAAAGTTGTTATAACAAAGTTTGGCATTAAAAATATTTTTAGAGGTGCGTACTGCCACTCCGTAGGACCTGGGTTCAATCCCTGATCCGAGCAACATCCGGACAAACCTCCGAGTGTATTTCTGACATGAAAAAGCTTCTTATAAAATCCATTTGCCGTTCGGAGGCGGCATAAAACTGCAGGTCCGTCCATTTGTGCTATAACATCAAGGCGCACACAACAAATTGAAGGAGAAGCTGGCCAAATACTTGGCAAAAAGTAAGCGCCAAAAATATTATTTATTATTACTTAAATAAAAAGAGTCATTAATTCGTCTCATTGCATTTTAAGTGGCCAAATTGTTTGTCATTTCCTAGTCGAAATCCAGCCTAGTGAATATAATGACCACTTTTTATTAATCTAATGGCAAGAGGAATATTTAATGCCCAAACATTTGCATTAAATTTTTTGTCATTTAATACCGAGTGGAAATCTGGTATTAGACTACTAGCAACTTATTAAATATATGTAATATCCTATCTATTTACTCAAAATGTCCTGGATTTATAGGCATTCTTTTTTTCTAAAAATTCTAATTACGCTTTACTTTAAAAAATGTGCGCAAAAATTCCAATCAAATCAAAATTCTTGTATGCTACAATATTCATAACTTCTTTTATCAACATTTTTGTAGAAATTGTTTAAATTGAAGCTATTTTCATTTTTTTTTTTGAATTGAGAATTTCTAGTTATTGATGAGATGAAAAAAAAATAAATAAAAAAGTAAACAATTATCAGTTTGCGAGAAGAGTCACTCAGATATAAATTTGTGCTTCACTCTATTCCTACCTTCGATACTTTCCACTTTCAAAGAAATCAATAGCGATTGAACAGTCTGTGATGCGGTGTAAACTCGCCCTAAGCAAAGTCATTTCACTAGCACGACACATCATTCATAAAAATAGCATCACTAGATTTTTGCATTTGAAAATAAAATACCATCTTTCGCTCATATTTAGCATAAGAGGTAAAAGTATAAAAAAAATTTAAAATCCGATTTGCCGCTTGCCTATTTAGTGTCTAGAAAACACATATCCTTTTTTGGTGCTGGTCTCTTTCTCTATTTACCTAACGTTACACGCTTCCACAACAAAACACTGTAAATTGTCCAATTAGCCAAGGTGAGTTTTTGCTTTAATGCTGTCTATGTAAAATAGTTATACAATTAATTATTTTACCACTTTTTGCAATTTTATAACTAATAATTCTATATTCTTATGCTCTCTTTACGCTCTCCATTTATTTCTAAATTTTTATTTTTTATTTAATTTTCTTTGTTTTGCTTTTTTCTCTTGATTTGTCTCCTTACAGTCGCCCGGTGCCGAATGCGCCACCCAAGCTGCCAGAACGACCTTCATACTATGGCAACACTACAAATGGACGTCCATTTTGAGGAGGCATACAAAATGGCGGCTGTGCCATGTAGAGGAACTCGTGTCGTACGAGTGGATTCCACCGCTTTTGTTGGTGTTCGTATACAACAATATTAGACTTAAAATATTAACAATAGAAAAAACTAAAAAAAAAAAAATAATATTAAATCGATAACAATGACAAACACACGCCTGATTAAACTTAGTGTTTAGTTAAAGAAGGGAAACGAAAAATTTAAATGTAACACAAAAAAAGCGACCATTTTTCTTCGAGTATTTTTTTTTTTGTTGCCCGAATTTTGTGAATGGACCAGAGCGATGGCATAATTTTGTTGTGAAGTTGAATTGTAATGTAAAATGGGCAGTTTTTCTTAAAAAAAAAAAGACCACAGGTTTCGTTCAATTTCAGATAGTCAAGTCCCAGATTCCAAATTTGTTATGAATTGTTCTCGAGAAGTGCCTAAATTAGTGAGATTTCGCCGTAAAAATTGCTTTAAAAAAATTAAATCTCCACTTAAGTGACTATCCCAAATTTTAACCTTACCTTATTTATAACTGCTGGCTCGACTCAAATATGCATAAATGAAATTTTGGATAAAATGTCAATTAGCTTTCGAACATGGCGTAAAAATTTATTAAAATAAAATTTCTTACAAATATGTAAATAATAACAAAGTTACCTACGTAAAATTAAAAATAAATAGGTATTAAAATGTGTTCGAAAGTTATGTAGATGAATAGATATGTAGCTAAGTTTTGGCAGCTCTCCTCTTACCCGTTTCCCCAGCGAAATTTGTAGTTTCCCAATTCTTTGTAAATATTTAAAAAAACAAAAAAACATACAAAAACTTCGTATAATTGTTAGCAGACCAAAACGTGATGCAAATGGTTTAAGTATTTTTTTTTATTAAAAAAATATATTCAACTCTTATTTTATAAATGCTGCAATTAGTGTAAGCACTTAAAATATAAAAAAATAGTATAAGTATTGTAAACATAACAGTCATGCTAAGTTGTGTATATTTAATAAAACGATAAGTACATAAAATAATGCTTAAATTAAAATAAATTAATAAAACATTTTTAAAAATATAAAATTTTCCGATTTTTATGCTAAAAAGGTCTTAAGTAAGTTGCACTTAACTGAAAAGTTTTGTAAATTGCAAAATTTCAGTTTTCAAAAAATTCATTTTCATCTGAGTCGCTCTGTGTTTTCATCGCATTTAGTGTCGCCCTGTGCCGAATAAAAAACGCCTAAAAGTAGGCATCATTTTGGTCGCCCGCTGACAGCCAGCCGAATTTGTCAGACAGGCCAGAGCACCAGGCGTGCAGCACCGCCCAGCAGCTGTCCGCCACATGTTGCATGTGATGCGCAACAATGTTGCTAAAAGCGCAACTGTTTATTTGCGCATAACTAAGGCAAATCTGCACCGATTTTAATGCTTTGGGTGTCATGAAAGGGAAGAGCGCAACGATGATGCTGCTGGAGTTGAATATGCTAATATTCGAATTTTTGAGTTGCTTTTAAGCAAGTAAAGGCGCAAATTAATTAAATTGACGTATATTATCGTGTCTCAAGAGTGTGTGTTATTAGGAAATCATTTGTATACATTTTTTTAAAGTCGATTGAAACTCTGACCATATTTATTACAATTTTTTCAAAGGAATTTTTTTTTAACTATTTTTTCTAATAAATAATATAAATAATAAAAAAAAAAATAAAAAAAAAATTTCTAATTTAAACGGAACTTGATTTTATTTTCTAGGTGCTTTGGTTAGTTTCAATTTATTCCACGCCACAATTTTATGTTGTCACCATTTATTAATAATTAAAACAACTCCTGTTTTTAGGGTTTTTAGTTTTTTTATTCATCTGTATCTACCATTCAGAGTGTGGATCTCGGGTATACATTTTTTCGCACTACACAACTTACATGCATACATTAATTATTTATGTATGTATAGTATTGGCCAATACAATAGCACCCCCATTTCAAAGTCATATTGTTTGCCACTCATGTTTATTTATTTATTTTTAAGAATTTTCAATTAAAATACAGTTCATTCTCTGACAAAACTCACATAAACTTAAGTTTAAAACTTTTTAAAAGTCCGCAAAAAAGTGCAACAAATTTTCACCCAAATTTCAAACTTTTTTCTCAGAAGCGGTAGAATTTTTTTTGAATACGCAGTTTTATAGCCCATTGGATTTTAGTCTAATAATGTGCAGGTTTCAAGTGGCTAAAAATTACCGATGATTTTTTCGAATAAAAAAATGCATACGCATAAAACAACACCTCCACTCGTTCGAAACCAACACCGATTGCCAATGCGAACACTCACTCGCTCACGCACCACACACTACACGCTGTCGGCATGGGTGCTATCAACGAACGAACCAACCAACCAACCATCCAGAGGCAAATGTCAACTGCCACAACGAATACTGCAATTTGTCTTATTTGCAAAAAACAACAACAACATCTGCAAATGTGATGAGGATCACTAGACAAATTGCAGTGTTACACCTGTGACAGCAGCGCCTAGCTGTGTGCATGTGTGTGTACGCTTAGTGGCGGGCGGTATAGTGTAGGCGAAAAGTGGCGAGTGTTTAGCGCGTATGCGGCAATTTTCCATGTATTTTAGATGTTAAAGGAGTACAAGAAGAAGAAGAAAATTAATTGTTTATTGCTTGTTATAAAACAACCACCTTAAATTAAATAGCAGTATAGTACATAACGGTACTAGAATCAAAATAAACGAACAATTGTGTGAATTACAAAAAAAAAATAATAATAATTAAAAATAAATACGAAAGTCACAGCATGTTGTTGTGCATATGTAGGCTAAATACATATTTACATACATACATACATATGTATATTTACTGTGGAAATTAATACATGTTGCATGCATAGATAATTTTAAAATTCACATAAGACATGCATTAATAAATGTGCGCATGACTCCATAGTAGTTATTACAGACAAACACACTTACATACATACATTGAAGAACAAAAGTTATACATTTACACGCATGAAAGTATGTGAGTAAGCACAGGCAACAACAAAAACTTGAGAACACATATATGTATACAACATACCAAGTAAAGAATTACAAACATTTATTAAAAGCAAATAATTACATATACTTATATACATACATACAGTTGCGGGTCAATAAGATAGTAGCAAAATTCAAAATGATATTTTTTGCAACTTTGATTTATTTGGTATTCATTTATGTTTAATAATTTTCATTTAAAATATAATTCGATCAATACACATAAATAGAGCTTCGAAGCTTGCACAAAGTACACAAAAAATAATCAAACTTAAAAAATTGCCATTAAAATTTCAAACTTTTTATTGAGGATTTTTAGAAAATTTTCGGGTATGCAGTTTTGAAGCCCATTCAATTTAGTGCACGTTTCAAGTCATTAAAAATTACTGTTTAAATTTTTTTTTAGTGTGTTGAGCATTTTCTACCATATAACGTATGAACAAAATAGAGGTATTTTCGCAGCCTTGCAAAGCTCTTGCACGGTGCACGGTTGCGCGGTTTGCAAAGCTGTCCCATAGGAAATCCGGTTTTTAACGTGCACCGTGCAGTGGGTTTGCAACACTCCGGAAAGTACCCCAAAAGTGTTTTCATTAGGAAGAAAATGCTAATTTTAAATTTTGCTACTATCTTATTGACCACAGCTGTTTATGTTAGTTTAATTATTATTAGCCACAAAATATAATATACTCTTAACAAACGTAAGCAACTTGGAAAAAAATGCAAAAACACCATCTGACAGCATGCATACAGCATTCTAGCGGAAATATGACAGCAGCGGAAATCCCAGCAAATTGACATTTGCACGTGAAATGGCGACCGGCCAGTGGTTAGCAGCTGCATTCGTGCATTCGTTTGCGCGCTTTTGCATTTTTTAGTACATAAATAAATATTGAAACGAAATAATCATTATATATCAACAATAACAATCGCTAAAACATTGAGGGAACAACAACGTCTTGAGTAATGTATACATAGGTAGATGCAAAAAGCAGTGAGCTTGCAACAGTAAACCAAGCAACAATAAATGAACAAGTGAATCATAAAAGCAAACAGCAACAACCACGACAACAAAACGATTAACATGCTCGTACATAATTCTGTCAATTTTTTTCTCATACTTATTAACGCTGCAAAAATGGCGTTGATGATTTTTTTATAGCGTAAGCAAATTTTATATGCATTCAAGCTGAAAACTACAAACAAACAAAAATTAAGTGAAAATTATAAAAAAAAGTGAAAATTAATAATTAGATGTTGTGTGCGTGTAAAAATCGGCGTATGACGCATGCATGAAAAAAAAATTAAATTAAAAAAAGAATGCATGAGTCTTAATATACATAAGTATGTTAAAAGCAATTGGCGTAACCAAAATTTGCATAACAAATCATTGAAAAAATGCGAAATAAAAATATGTATATCGGTATAAAAAATGCTTATAAAAATACAGAACATACAAAAAGTAGTTGGCGCGCGCAAAGTGCTAAAAAGCAAACGTTTTGCAAATTTCATTAAAGCCAGAGCAGCGGAGGCGCGTGGGAAAGCAGCAAGTGTATTGAAATGTTGATAGAGATATCAGTGCAACATTTATTGCGATACATAAAGATCGTAAATCTAAACGTTATTTAATTATATTCTTAAAAACATAAATAACATATACTGTGTAGAAAACTTAAGCATCTGTAAAATTGTTAAATAAAACATAAAACATTAAAGAAAATGCACTAAAAGAAGAAAGCAAATGGTGCAGTTCAATACTTTATCTTTTTTCGAATATGTAGTCTACTCACACGTTTAAGAAAAGTTTACATATTAATGTTAGCTTGTGGGAAATTTTGAAGAATAGAGAAAAAATTAATACTTAAAAAAATTAATGAGGCGTATTCTGGTTTTCGTACGAATGAAAAATTTAAAATTTTTGCATAGAAAATGATAGGAAAATTTCATGATTTTCGATTCGTACGAAAACAAGAATATGCCCCAATATATGCATATTAACCATAAAAAATGAATGTAGCAAAGAACATACAACAAATGTAGTATTTAAATTAGTAAAATTTGAAATGTTAATAACAAAGTGATACACGTGCGATTAAATTAACATTCGAGTCTTTTCGATGGCTTATAAGGAACACATAACAAGAATGGTGTAAGGTTTATTAAAAAAAGCCGTAAAAAACATTGTTCTGTGCTAAATGGTTAAGAAAAAGTTATCCATATACAACTACATATGTATAAATATTAAAGCGTGAAATAATTAAGAACTACTAAAAACAT